AAAAGAAATAGGTAACAATAAGTCATCAATTCATGAGAGAAGTATACATCTGACTGTGTGACCTCTGACCTTGTTACAGCTAAACTAAGTGCGCTGTGGAAAAAGCTAGACCTTATGGTGTTACCACATGAGGACCTAAATGCCGCTGACATGTTAGATGTCTTGTGGTCCACCAGGTTGATGGACCATCGCCAATTCTCTTGCCTCATAGTATGCATTCTCTCGCATGGTACACTGGGTAAAGTCTGTGGATGTGATGGTGTTACAATTACGCTGCAGGAGCTCGCTAAGCCCTTCACTCCTAAATATTGTAAAGGTCTGGTTGGTAAGTATTTCAGGTGTACATGCTATAAGAACATATTCACTCGTATGCCCTCTAACAGGGTTAATTTTGTAGGGATCCTGAGTCAAAATGAAATCCCTAAATTCAAGTCGAGTCAGCTTGTTGACTACTTGGGAGATCGGTTTTCACGCAAAAAATAGAATTTTATGTGACTATATTTTGTAGCTCGTTGCTACGAAGTAAACTTAATTACGTGAAAATTCGCGTATCAGAATAAAGAGGGAGATGCACAAGTTAACGGGTTGTAGGTTAGCGGTGAAGTTCCACATACTGCAAAAACGTATCAGTGATCACTGTATACAAGTGGTCTTTATATAGAGGTGATCACTATATGCAGGTGGTCTTTATATAGAGGTGATCACTGTATACAGGTGGTCTTTATATAGAGGTGATCACTATATGCAGGTCTTTTATATAGAGGTGGTCACTATATACAGGTGATCACTATATGCAGGTGGTCTTTATATATAGGTGATCACTATATGCAGGTGGTCTTTATATAGAGGTGATACTGTATACAGGTGGTCTTTATATAGAGGTGATCACTGTATACAGGTGGTCTTTATATAGAGATGATCACTATATGCAGGTGGTCTTTATATGGAGGTGATCACTGTATACAGGTGGTCTTTATATAGAGGTGATCACTATATGCAGGTGGTCTTTATATAGAGGTGGTCACTATAGGCAGGTGGTCTTTATATAGAGGTGATTACTATAGGCAGGTCTTTTATATAGAGGTGATCACTATATGCAGGTCTTTTATATAGAGGTGGTCACTATATACAGGTGATCACTATATGCAGGTGGTCTTTATATATAGGTGATCACTGTATACAGGTGGTCTTTATATAGAGGTGATCGCTGTATACAGGTGGTCTTTATATAGAGGTGGTCACTAGGGAGGTGGTCTTTATATAGAGGTGGTCACTATATACAGGTGATCACTATATGCAGGTGGTCTTTATATATAGGTGATCACTGTATACAGGTGGTCTTTATATAGAGGTGATCACTGTAGACAGGTGGTCTTTATATAAAGGTGGTCACTCTAGACAGGTGGTCTTTATATAGAGGTGGTCACTGTAGGCATGTGGTTTTTATATACAGGTGGTCACTATAGGCATGTGGTCTTTATATACACGTGGTCACTATAGGCATGTGGTCACTATAGACAGGTGGTCTTTATATACAGGTGGTCACTATAGGCATGTGGTCTTTATATACAGGTGGTCACTATAAGTATGTGGTCTTTATATACAGGTGGTCACTATAGGCAGGTGGTCTTTATATAAAGATGATCACTATATGCAGGTGGTCTTTATATGGAGGTGATCACTGTATACAGGTGGTCTTTATATAGAGGTGATCACTATATGCAGGTGGTCTTTATATAGAGGTGGTCACTATAGGCAGGTGGTCTTTATATAGAGGTGATTACTATAGGCAGGTCTTTTATATAGAGGTGATCACTGTATACAGGTGGTCTTTATATAGAGATGATCACTATATGCAGGTGGTCTTTATATGGAGGTGGTCGCTATAGACAGGTGGTCTTTATATAAAGGTGGTCACTATAGGCAGGGAGTCTTTATATAAAGGTGGTTACTATAGGCAGGGAGTCTTTATATAAAGGTAGTCACTATAGGCAGGTGGTGTTTATATAAAGGTGATCACTGTAGACTAAACCATTATCCTAATAAGCTGTAAGAACTAGGATAGGGTGTCTAGAATTGAGGTGGATATAATAATAGACCCAGCTCATAACAAGGAATTAAAAGTTATTAAAAATATATACTTTCATTTGATCAATTTCTACTGTGTAGGAAAACCAAAGATGTTCTTCATTCAAGCTTGTCAAGGGGAGCAGTCACAACAAGGAATTGCACAGCCGAGTAGTACCCCACAAAGAGACGCCATACCTTTCCAGTATTCCTCGGCTCCAATACAGCATAGTCTGCAGAGCAGCGATGAATCATTACCATCGATTCCTAATGAAGCAGATTTCCTATATGGTTTTTGCACCGTGCCTGGGTATGAGGCATACCGTGATCCGGATCCATCAAGGGGATCCTGGTACATCAGTAAGCTCGTTGAAAGCCTGGAGAAATACGCTTCAACCAAACATCTCCTGGATATATTGATCCTCGTCAACAAGGGTGTCGCTGAAAAAGGTGATGAAAACTACAAACAGATGCCGGCTCCGCAGTTTACTTTGCGGAAAAAAGTATTATTCAACTAGACTGCTGGATATGTTCATATCACCACCTGTTCCCTCTTTTCATCACAAATTGACAAAATAGTCCTATTTATAGTCTGCACTTTCCTTGCGAAGATTGGAACAACAATAGCTAACTTTTTTGAGTAAAAACTGAAAAGTGACTAAAATTTTGTCTGTTGGCTCCAAAATTAGGGTTCATTTCCAAAAAATATTGAAGAATATAAAAAAAAAAGTGCAGAATAATTTGGGCAAGAAAATCTGGTGGTGAAAAGGTCAACAATCAAAATTGATTGTGACAAAATTTGTCGTGTTTGTGTGGCAATGTTGCATATGTAACTGAACATTTTCAACTGGACTATGAAAGCAGTACATTTGTACTCAGCTTCTTATTTCTATTTCTACAATAGATGTAATTATAAATATGTTAACTATGAACTATCATAAATCTACTGTACAATATTTTATTTTAGCTGGAATTAATTTTCGCTGAAAAGACTTTTTGGGTGTTTTGTATGGAATTAATTTTCACTGATTTTTGATGAGTTGAATGTAAAATATAGGAAAAAGGGTATACCCGTATTCGCTGGATATTATTTTCACTGAATCATTCGTTCATCGAAAATTAATTCCAATCAAAAATAAAGTATTTTACAGTATTAGATACAAATGTTTCATGTTTGCAATGCTATAACAGGTTCTTTGAGACAGAGTAACAGGGGTGCAGCGCCCTCATACCGGGCACAGCGCCCTCTTAGCAGAGGCAAGAAGTATTTTCATAACCTGTAATCAATTGTTTTTATTTTCGTAATATTGTAATTCAAATAACTAAGAATTGTAAATTCGTAGACATGGACAAGGTGTAAAATGTAATCAGCTATTTTATTTGTTCGTAATTTGTACAAAGATCTTATTTTTTGTAAGCGTATAAAGCATTTTCAAATTAAATGTCGTAATTCGTACGCAATTTCCAATTTTGTTTCTTAGACACAAATTATCAAATATATTATAAAAATGTGAAATGTAATTAGGAATTAGCTTTATCTGTAAAGTGTAAAAACTTATTTTTTACTGTAAATGAACCTTATATTTTATTTTCTGTAAAATGCTTTTTTTAATTTCCTGTAACCTGTACCAGCTATCCCCC